CTTTCTTTCTTTCTTTCTTTCTTTCTTTCTTTCTCTTTTTTGTATGGCTCCTTCAAATCTGAAAGCTTTCTGGAGTGAGGTAAAAATGTTGGGCTTTCAAGCAAAGTACATCGTACGTAAAGTGTCCTGATGAACCTGCACGGCCTTGGCGAGAGCTTGAGGGTCTCGGCCATTACTCTGGCCGGAGATGTGACTGCCTTCTCCACTAAAAAGGCAGAGGAAAAGGAATTAAAAGGATTAAAACAGAGCGTTATTAGTCAGAATGCGGAAGGGATGAGGATGGCAGATTTCTCTTGACAGGGAAATCACTGTCACCATAAAACAACACAGATTTTATTCCAGGGAATTTTAAGACTTCAACACTCAGTATTCCCCAGCCAGCATCTTAAAGTTGCCATAGTTGGAAACACTGCTCTAGATCAGTGGTCCCCAACCTTGGCAACTTTAAGCCTGGCAAACTTCAATTCCCAGAATTCTGGGAGTTGAAGTCCCCCAGGCTTAAAGTCCTCCAAGCTTAAAGCAAAGCCGGCTGGGGAATTCTGGGAGTTGAAGTCCCCCAGGCTTAAAGTCCTCTAAGCTTAAAGCAAAGCCGGCTGGGGAATTCTGGGAGTTGAAGTCCCCCAGGCTTAAAGTCCTCCAAGCTTAAAGCAAAGCCAGCTGGGGAATTCTGGGAGTTGAAGTCCCCTAGGCTTAAAGTCCTCCAAGCTTAAAGCAAAGCCGGCTGGGGAATTATGGGAATTGAAGTCTGCCAGGCTTAAAGTTGCCAAGGTTGGAGACCCCCTACTCCAGATAAACTACACACCTCTGTAATATAAAAAGTTTGTGGTTTTTTCCTCCCTCTTCCATAAGTCTAAGGGTATTGGAGACAAACTAAAGGGACAAAACCTTTTCCAGACTGGGGGCAGCTTTTTTTGGCTTTCGACCACATGCTGGGGAGTTGGTGTGGAGGGCTAAACAATTTTTTGAGCAGAGATGCAGACTTTATTTGATTTAAGTGAATCATGGTGGTGCAGTGGTTAGAGTGCAGTACTGAAGGGGACTTCTGCTGACTGCCGGCTGCCTGAAATTTGGCAGTTCGAATCTCACCACGCTCAAGGTTGACTCAGCCTTTCATCTTTCCAAGGTGGGTAAAATGAGGACCCAGATTGTTGGGGGCAAAAGGCTGACTCTGTAAACTGCTTAGAAAGGGCTGTAACGCATATATGTCTAAGTGCTATGGCTATTGCTAAGTGAAATGCAGGTAATCCTTGACTTACAACAGTTCATTAAATGACTATTTCAAGTTACAATGGTACTGGAAAAAGTGACCTATGACCATTTTCCACCCAACCATTACAGCATCCTCTTGTTCACGTGATCAAAATTCAGGTGCAAGTTGGCAATTGATTCATTTATTTATGACGGTTGCAGTGTTCAGAGGTCATGTGATTCCCCTCTTACGACCTTCTGACAAGCAAAGTCAATGGAGAAGCCAGATTCACTTAACAACCGAGTTACTAACTTAATAATTGCAGAGGTTTATCTATCAATTTGCGCAGGAAAGGTCATAAAAATTGGGCAATACTCACTTAACAAATGTCTCACTTAGCAACAGAAATGTTGGGCTCTGTTGTGGTCGTAGGTCAAGGACTACCTGTACTGTCAATGTAATTTCTTTCCTCAGATACTTCATAATTCCCCATTCATGCACCCTCCCTCCCCAATGTAAATTACAGCTTCCAAGATTTAGCTGCAATACCCATTTGTCTCTTTTCTAAACAAGGATGTTGGATGACTTTTTGTTACCAGGCCGAGTAACATTATCAGTTACTGTATTTTTCAGAGTATAAGATGCTCTGAAGTATAAGATGCATCTATCTTTCAGGGATGAAAACAAGAAAGGACGTGCATGTGGGTGACGCTGGGGGCCATTCCAACCCTACTGGTTGGAACGGAATCCGGAACCCACCACTGTTCTGGTGCCAAGTTATGCCACTTCATCCTTATACCAGCAGCGAACTCATTTTCAAGCTCAGAGACTTCTATTTTTTAAAAAATCAACAGCTTTGTTGCCAGATAGGGGAATTAATGATAGGAATCAGCTTCCATCTTAAAGAGATACCATATTTTTCAGACTATAAGTTGCTCCAGACTATAAGAGACACCTAGCTTTTGGGGAGGAAAATAAGAAAAAAAATCTGCCTCTGCCTCCCAGCAATTTGCCTCCTTGCAGCAAACAGCCCCTTTCAGTTTCGGCACAGCCTGATTAGCACAAGCAGCTGATTGTCTGGCCTCCCCAAGATCAGCTGTTTCAGGCTGCAGGGATTGTCATAGGTAACAATTGTCAATTGTCATTGCCACCTCCACGCACCCCATTTTTGGACTCTGTATCCCATTTTCAGGTTCTGTACACCCCAGTTTTGGCCTCCTTGTGCCCCATTTTCTGCCCTTTCCAAGTGGTGGGGATTGGAATGGGCAGAAGAATAGGGCACGCGGAGGCTGTAAATAGGGTGCGTAGAGTCAAATATGGGAGGCGGAAAAAGAGGCACATGGAGGCGGCAATAGGCAATGGCAATCCCTGCATCCCGAAACACCTGATGGTCGGGAGGCCGATCCAACCGACAATCAGCTGCTTGTGCTAATCAGACGGTGTTGAAGCTGAAACTGAAACCAGCTGTTTGCTGCAAGGCGGTAAATTGTTGGGAGGCAGAGTCCAAAGAGTGGGAGCTAGTGGGTCTACATTCAGTGTAGAAGACGCACCCAAACTTTCACCCTCTTTTAGGGGAAAGTGCGTCTTATACTCCGAAAAATACGGTATATCAGGTAATAAAAGCTCTTCAAGAAATAACCCAGCTCAGAGAACACCAGAACCTCTAACTCCCTAGCGCCACCCAGTGGTGGTATGTTGGGCTCTGCAAGGAGCATCTTCATGGGGGCTGGTGGGAGGTGCCACTACTTACCTGTCATGCTCTTTGTCTACAAGGTGATATCGTGCCCGGAAGGCCACCAATCGAGCATAGTATGCTGGTGCTGGGATAGAAACAGAGCGGGTGCAACGGACGTAGGTGTGGCAAAGCTGGTAGGTGAGAATTTGTAGCTCATCTGCTGTAAACCGGTTATCGTCCCAAAGCACGTAGTAATGGGAGGGTCTGCTGGTACCCTAGGGGAGAAGGAAAGAAAGAATGAAAGGAGTCAAGAAACATTAACAGCACAACGATGGAAGGTGGGGGTGCAGGAAAGAAATTGGTACAGGCAGTCTTCCACTTACAACAGTTGACTTGAGTGACCGTTGGACATTCCAACCGATTGAAAAAAGTGACATGATTTTTTTTCCCACATTTACAACCACTGCAGGATCCCCGTGATCACATGATTAAAATTCAGACACTTGGCATCAGATTCACACCGGTGGCAGTGTTCCAGGCTCACCTGACCATGTTTTTATAACCTTCTGACAAGCAAAGTCATTTAATGATCATAAGTTGAGGACTGTCTGTACCCCTCGGAGAATGGGTGGCAAGTCTGAAAGGTCCTCTGAGATTATGTGTCAGGGTTCCAAATAGCATCCAAAATTAAATCAGAATCCAAGGCAAAGTATTGCTCAAAGTTTCAATTTATTAAGAGAGGCATGTTGGCACATCTGAAAGCTTCCTGGTTTTCCCCACCCAGTTGAAAGTTCAAGATCTTGCCCCCACACCCACAAGTCCATCACATGGTCCAATCTTCCACTGCTATGCTGGCAGCTCCCACCCATCCAATTTCGGCCAGGTGCAGAGATGCAAAGACAAAGGATGACCTTGGCTTTCTAGAAAGAATTTTGTTATGGCTATATAGGATCTCACTCCTTACAACCCCCCCGCCCGTTTTCCCACAATAGAAAATGAATAGTAGAATAATAGAAAGTGTAGCAGGCCAAAGATGCAAAAGAAAAGATGGCCGCAGGCCTGACATTATGGGTTGGTTGTTCCATTCACTGATTCAGTTTGGCCGTCATCGTCATTTCCCCCCGCCCTCCGCCCCCAAATGTGGCCTTCCATCCCTAGACTTTGCAGTCATGGCAGAGAATGCTAGGAAATGAAGTCCACCACATCCTGGAAGGAGGGCTGCCTTACCTATCTCTGCCAGGAAGCTACTAAAAAAAAAGATACCTGAATGCCGGCATGACTGCACAGGTAGAAGTCAAACTCAAAAGGATGAGTAATGTTTGTATCAACAGTGGTTCCTGCTGGTATGTTTCCACTTTTGCCAATCTGCGGAGAGAGAGAGAGACAGACAAAGAGAAAGTTATATATCAGTGATGGCTAACCCTTTTGTCATCACGTGCCAAAAGCGTGCGCAACTACCACTGCCCATGCCCCCCACTGCACATGCATGCACAATCCCCCCCCCCCGTACCGTTTTGGGCCTAGTAGACCTCCCTACAGCCTCCTAGGACCAAAAATGCTTCCCTCACCCCCATGCACGCAAACACAACCCCCGCCCTCATGCATGTGTGCACATCTCCCATATGTGCCTCTCCCTCTGCGCATGTGCGGCAGGGACCCGAAAATCAGCTTGCCAGCAGGAAGCACGCATGCATGCATGGTGGAGCTGAGCTGGGGCGACATGGCTCTGCCTCCACTTCAGGCACATGTTCCATAGGTTCCCCACCACGGCTGCATACAATAGCAATGGGAAGGCTACCAGACAAAATGGGAACAAGTTTCCATAAAAATTGCCAGGGTCTTTAATTCTACAATTCTGCCATGAAGTTTGACTTATAGGTAGTCCTCAACTTACAACAATTGATTTAGTGATCTTTAAAAGTTACAATGCAACGGAATAAAAGTAACTTAAAAACAACATTTTTCACACTTAACCGTAGCCTGACACCTGTCTAAGCAGTTTTCAAATTGTGGAATGTATTTATTTAGGTAGAAAATGTATACAGGTAGTCCTCGACGTACACCAGTTCATTTAGTGACCAAAGTTACAACGGCACTGGGGAAAAAATGACTTACAATCCATTGCAGCATCCCAACGGTCATGTGATCAAAATCCAGAGGCTTAGCAACTGGCATGTAGATTGTAGATTGTAGATTTATTTATTTATAGGCCGCCCTTTTCCCTGAGGGGACTCAGGGCGGCTTACAATCAGAAAGGAAGGGGAGTGTAGGACAATACGAAAAAAGAAATGTGCACGAAGTAAATTAAACAATAAAACTCAACATTCACTCAGCATTCGGGAGG